AGGGGAGGGGCGCAGCAACTACTGATCTCTAGAACAAGGTTGGGAGAGACGTGGGGGAGAAGCCCGTAGAAAAGACATGATTTCAGAAATAAGGGAGAAAAGGGAATTTTTGCCAGGAACCCAGAATCAATATGCCCATCCCATGACCAACACCCCCAAACACAGGTTTGATAACAACTTCTGGAATCTGCATAAGGCCACAATTCGTTCTGTTCTTAGAGGCTTCTGACACTTGAGCCAGTGATGACTCATTTTTTAATCACCTGATTATAGTTAGGGCTCACAGACAAATGTTTTAAAAAATATTTCCTTGTWATTTAAGGGGCAGATTTTTGCTTTCCTATTCACTCTGCTGCCAGGTTGCCTGACTAGGATTTTTCTCTCCACAACCCTACCCAACACCTACCCTAATGTGCTTGCTATATTTTCTGGTAATTCTCACAGTTTCAGTCCTCACCAGATTTCACTAAGCTGTTGTGCCAGGCACATATTATTGGAACTGGCTCCCTTCTTGTTCCTGCATGTCAATCCTCTATTCTTCCTCAGGGTCTACTCCAGCATCAACTCTCAGTGAAGTTTTCTCTTCCTTCTCGGGTCCATTGAGTTCTGTTCTTTTTAATTCCACAGCACATTGAACAAAGTATATGCACAGAGTTGTACTGATTTGTAGGCRTGCCTGTCTTCTTCAGCATACCACTTAGGCTTCTTGACAACAAGGTCTCCTCCACTGGTTTTTATGTGCCTGATGCATAGTGGGTGCTTATGGAGCATATGCTGAACAAAGATTTGACATGTTCTCTTTTGTTAACATGCAAGAAAATAACTTGACATCAGTAGGGAGCTTGGGACATGAAAGAAATTAGTGTAAAGAATAAATATTTACCTTTCATGGTGTGCTTAAGACATGGAAAGCTAYACATATTTAATAAATGTAGGTAAAAATAATTGGTTTGGTGATGGTAATGGAGCAGTCATTGTGGTGTGGGGTAAGGAGGTAGAGCAAGAGCACTGGTCTCAGGGTTCTAGGCATAGCTTTGCCAGAGAACCTTGCCACCTCAGTTCTTTCTTGACCTAATTTTTTCATCTTGTGGAATAGAAAGACAGGAGGAAGTAATCTTACATGAATTTAAGGTAATTCAAGCCCTAAAACTATCATTTATTATAGTGGTAGCAGTTAAGAAATGCCAAGCACTGCCACAAAGTCCTGTCTCTGTATCCCCACACAAAGATGCTTGAACATTTCTTGTTTCCTATTCAGATTTGGAGTCTTCTAGGCACTTTTTCATTTTTTCTTCTTCTTCTTCTAGTTGTAGATGGACACAATACCTTTATTTTATTTATTTGTTTATTTTTATGTGGTGCTGAGGATGGAACCCAGTGCCTCACACGCACTAGGCAAGCACTCTACCACTGAGCCACAACCCTAGCCCTAGGCACTTTTTCTTAATTTCTTCCTTTTGTGCTCATTGCCCCCTTCCTCCAGGCCTATGTGTTTTGCCTTGAAGCTGCRGAGCAGTTGGAACATAGTGCAGTATTATGTGGCTCTTCAGTTTTTCCTTCAGGGTGGCTTTGTGCACCTCTCCACTACCCCTTTGTTCATTGCTCCTCACACAAATCTTGACCTCTCTCCAGCAAACTTATCTCCAACAGGCCCAGACAAGATTTTTAAGGTCTTTCAGGGTGTTTTGCTCTTATTTTCTGTGCAAAAGGTATGTTGGCAGAGGACTCTCAGATCATTTCACCATCAGTTTACCTCCCTTTTTTTCTATTTTCTTAGAACCCACTTTTATTATGATGAGAGCACTGAGTACTGTTTGCTGAAGGTTTTCTGTGTGTTTGTATTGTGATGGGGGTTTATATAATGCCTGATTGCTTACATCACTAAACCTTTCCATTGTTCCTGAAGGATGAAATATAATCATTTTGGAGATGAGAATATGTTCTCAGATTGTTTGAATAACTTGCCAGGATTGTCCAATTCCAAAGCCAATGCAGTTTTCACCATATCATGCCATGTCCTAGCATATGGAGGTCCTTTTCAGTTTTTTGTTTTGTTCGTGTCAGTTTTTTGTTGGTTTCAGAAACAATTATATCACCAATAAGAAAAGACTTTCACCTCACCTCAGCACATAGAAGTTTGTGTTTTGTTTTTTCTTATGTTCTTCTACTCTTTGTTTAGAGTCACATATATTTTAAAGAGTATGACCATAATGTGGAATTTGATTTTATTATATTAATACGAATTCTTCAAGTATTTTTTGTTATCTTTTTTCATGTTATCATTTTAATGGCTGTATAATTTTAATCAGA